ATTGATGTGGAAAACACTGCCAGCCCCCGGGGTTGTTACCAGGATGCACAGTGTGCTGTGTGAGGCATACAAACAAGTCCTCTGAGGTGTCCCCTCCCTGGGGCTGCTGGGGTTTCAGCTGCCTGCGGGCTGCGGTGGAGCCTGGCCTGCAGCTGCCCTGCCCTGGGCAGCTCACATCCTGGTGTGTGGACTCTGCCTCTTTTTTTTTAAAATTGATTTCAGAAAGGAAGGGAGAGTGAGAGGTAGAAACCTCTATGATGATTGGCTGCCTCCTGCGTGCCCTCTATTGGGGGTTAAGCCCGCAGTCCGCAATCAGACCATCTAAAATAAATTAAAAAAAAAAAAAAAAAAAAAAAAGACAAGACCAGTTTTCCGGTCTTGTATTTTTTTTTTTTTTTTTACACAAGACCCTTGGCCTGGATTCATCCAGAGTCAGTTACATGAAAAACAGAGAATGGGACTAGAGACATTCGCAAAGTAAAACAGCCTTTTTGAGGGGGCTGGCCTCGGAGTAGTTTCCTGGCTTCCCCATCAGATTGCTTAAAATCTGTCTTGTCTGCCGAAGGTGTGAGCAGTAACCCCTTTGGGATGAGTAGGAAGCACCCCTCTGCCTTCTGATAACTACAGAAATCCAAAGAGTTGTTTGTTTTTATGTGTGTTTTTTAAAAATATTTTTTCATTGATTTCAGAGAGAGTAAGGGAGAGGGAGATAGAAATATCAGTGATGAGAATCATCCATCATCCAAGACCCAATGTGAGCTTCGTTGGATCCTATATCTTAAAAAAAAAAAAGAAAAAGTTATGCTCTGGCTCAGTGATAGATCATCGGCCTGTGGACTGAAGGGTTCTAGGTTCAATTCCGGTCAGGGGCATGTACCTTGGTTGCGGGCACATCCCCAGGAGAAGGTGTGCAGGAGGCAGCTGATCAATGTTTCTCTTTCATGTCTCTACCTCTCTATCCCTCTCCCTTCCTCTCTATAAAAAATCAATAAGACATTAAAAAAAAAAGTTATAAAAGACATTTGGGACCCTTGCAGAAAGTCAAATATAGATTGAATATTAGGAAATGTTATTGCATTAATGCTGATGTTCTTAGGATTACTAATAGCATTATGATCACGTAGGAAAATGACCTTAGGATAGATGCTAAAGTCACATCTGCAACGTCACTAGAAATGATTGAGCAGAACCAGTATTTGCATACACACACACACACACACGCACACACACACACGCACACACCCCAATTAATCAGTGAATTGGGTTGAAGGGTCATCTCAATTCCTAAACCTTATCTGTGGATTTGAAAATTTTCCAAATACACCGAACAAGTTGAAGAGGGTCTGTGGCTCCTGTCTGACTTGGAAAGATAGCCTTCTGTCCCCCATGCTGCCCTGGGGGGCCTGCCTGCAGACTTTCAGGCATCTGTGCCGTGTGTCTTGTCGGTCAGGGCAGGCAGTTGAGTGGCGGCTCTGGGGACAAAGGACTGGCCCCACTCACGGTCATGGGAGGAGGGGAGGGGATGTCTGCCAGGCACGTGCAACCCCAGGAAACCCATAAACTCCTTTCTGGCTGTGAAATGCTTGGTGCTGGGGAGTCGTCACCTAGCTGAGGCCGGCTGGCCAGCAGTTAAGAGCAGGGGCTGTGAGGTCTCTCCCAAATGTGGAGCAGAGTTCTCAGAGCCTTGTCTCTGTGTCTCTGGGGATCTGAACAGAACCTGCCTGGGAGGATCCAGTGGGTGTGGAGCACAAAGCACAGTGCCCAGCCCAGCCTAGACTCCAGCCCAGGACCCCGGGCAGCTCTGCGTGCTGGGCAGGAAGGCTCTTTCCACTCCACATGGCCACTCTATCTGCATCCAGGCATGCTCCTAGGTGGGAAGGGAAGGCCTGTGGCGTTCAGTGTGTTAGGTTCAGAGCCAGCACACTGCGGATTCAGAGACACACACACCCTCTCTGCCTGCCTCTGGCCTGTAGCGTGGCGGGTCCCCAGGAAGCAGCAGGTGCAGTCAGGCTCGTCAGTAATCATGGCCCCTTCCATTCCAGGGTAATCCTCTCGGGCCTGGTGGCTGGGGAGCAGGCAGAGCTCTGAAAGGTCTGCAAAACACCGGGGGCCCGGAGGACACTAATCTGATTGAGCGCATCTGCCAGGCGGAATTGATTGCTGCCAGCAGTGCCACCCCCAGCACAGGGCCCATTTCTGCCGGGACCGTGTCCTTCATGCGCCACCTTCTGCTGCTGGGAAGAAAAGAGCTTCTGTGTGTGGAGTGCCTGTGAATAGTTCAGGACAGGGTTCAGGAAAACCTTGACAATTTTGCAAAAAGTAAAAAAATAAAAATATATAGTTTCTCCGGTTTGGCTCAGTGGATAGAGCGTCGGACTGCGGACTGAAAGGTCCCAGGTTCGATTCCGGTCAAGGGCATGTACCTTGGTTGTGGGCACATCCCCAGTAGGGAGTGTACAAGAGGCAGCTGATCGATGATTCTCTCTCATCGATGTTTCTAGCTCTCTATCCCTCTCTCTTCCTCTCTGTAAAAAAATCAATAAAATATATTTTTTAAAATTATTATATATATATATATAGTTTCTTTTTATTTATTTATTTATTTATTTATTTATTTATTTATTTATTAATGGAGCAACACACTTGGCTGCTTTTTTCTATAGTTTTTTTTTTTAAATTGCACAAAACATATAAGAGAAAGGGTAGGGAATAATAGAGCTCATTAGAGGACAATTCAAATGGCCTAAAGTATCACTATCCAGAGACTGCCATTCCTTCTCTCGGTGAACACTCAATGGGTACCTCCTGGGTGCGGGGGACTGTGCTGGGACCTGGGGCCCAGCAGGGAATGGGTGGGACATGGTTCCTGCCCTCGTGAGGCTTAGACCTGCTGCCATTAATGCTTATTAGTATCTGATTGTGAGAAGAGCCTTGGTGACATCCAGTGGCCTCTGAACTGAGCTCTGGAGCCCAGCCAGTGTGGCCCAGTGGTTGAGCATCCATGCACTAGGAGATAACAGTTCGATTCCCCAGTCAGGGCACATGCCTGGGTTTCAGGCTTGATCCCCAGTTGGGGACATACAGAGAGCAGATGATGGATGATTCTCATCATTGATGCTTTTCTCTCTCCCTTTCCTGTCTTTAAAAATCAATAACAACAATTTTTTTTTTTTTTTTTTTTTTTTTTAATGAACTGAGTTCTGGAGGACTCATAATAAGGTAGGTGAGGAGACTAACACTCCCAGCTAGAGGAGGGTCTGAGTTGCATGGAGCTGAGGCCAGGCCCTACCCCAGGGTTACAGCTGTACTAGAGGCTCTTCCCCTTGGGCGGCGTTGACCTTGCCTTTGCTTGCCTGAGTGGCCCCTCCATATCCGGCAAGGGGAGGTGTGCATTTGGACCGAGAGGGCTTTGAAAGGAGATGGCGTGTAAAGCCGCGTAGGAAGCGGTCTGCAGTCTTCTCGCCCCTCGCCGTGTTGTACATTCCACTCCCTCGGCTCCTCCCTGCCCAAGACCAGAGGTGGGGTGTCACACCACCTTCGTCCACTTAGTGGGTGCTGATGGGCTCGCCAGGAAGATGGCCACCCAGGCTTCTCGGTGACATCGCTGGGGCCCTGCTGAGGACTTGTCGCTTCTGCTGCAGGGCAGCCTGTGGTGGGGGTTCCCTCCTCCCCTCCCCTGAGAGGCACGGGAGCCCCGTGAGAACTGGGTCGGCGGCGCTGGCGGTTGTGCACAGGTGTGCGGCACGTTGGCTGCTCCTGCCCTGGCCGGCGTGTGCTGGAGCCCAGCTGCCTCTTCTGTCGCTCGCTCCGCAGCTGCTCTGCGCCCAGTGAGGTTGGGCTTGGGGGCCAGAGCGGGGCTTCTTGTCTGGTGGGGGGGGGGGGGGCCGGGCAGAACGTGGGGACTGTGGTCAAGGAAAGCTTCCAGGAGGCAGTGACACTGAAGGTAGAGAATGAGGCGAGGTTGGCCGAGTGAGGAGGGGATGGGGAAGGGTCCTCCAGACAGAGGGCTGTGTAGACGAGGCTCCTAGGCAAGGAGAGCCTGGTGCCTTCAGAGAATTGCAGTGATGGAGGCCCTGGCCAGGTGTGTACGGTTTCCCCAGGGCGAGGGGAGTGAGACTGGGAGGTCCCCAGCAGCCCCCCTGCAGAGCCTCCCCCATGGAGGCTGCCAGTTCCCGCCCAGCCCCAGCACCTCAACCCTCAGTGGGCCTGACCCCCACGTGCCACCGGCTGCTTCTCTGTCCAGAGGATGCCCGCCAGGGGTTCCCTGGACCCAGGCTCAGGTTCTACATTGTTTCTGAGAACTCCTTGTAGGGATCGACTCCGGGCGACCCTACTGTGATGCATTTGATGAAGGATTCTTTGGGGCTAACTTCCCTTTCCTGGCTTCTCCCTCCCACTAGTCTTTCCGAGGCTCCCCTCCCACCTGCTCTGTTCCTGAGAGGACCCCAAATAAAAATCCACTGATGGACCTTAAACTCAGTAGTACACAACGGGGAGCTGTTGAAGGGCTTTTCTACATCTGGGGAGTGGTGGGGGGAGGGCAGGGTCAGATTTGCAGAGTCGTTGTGACTATGGCCTGACCCTCTAAGCAGTCCTGGGGTGAATCAGTTATGGCCAGACAGGAGAGCCCACCTCATTCCTCAGGCCCTTGCTGTTGCTGACTGCTAGTGAGGACCTTCTGTGTCCCATGTGCTGTTCCGATCATTTGGAATGCGTTTTGTCCTTGTCTCTGAGGTCTAGTTTCCACTTTATGGATGAGAGAACTGAGGCACAGAGAGGGTGAGACACCTGGGCTAGTCACACAGCTGGACGTGGTAGCTTGGGGCTATGAGCCCAGGTTTGACAGGTCCAGTGTCTATGTTCGTTCTCCCTCTGCCGCGGGGCCTTTCGGTTCTCCGTCCTCTCTGCCGGCACCCGTCCAGGCACTTGACGTTGGACCTTTACTAAATTCCTGGGTGCAGGCCAGTGCTGTGGTCTGGTGACCTCTGCTCCTCCCACAGGTAAATTCGAGGACAAGGAAGACCACGTGCCCAAGCTGGAGCAGATAAACAGTACGAGGATCCTGAGCAGCCAGAACTTCAGCCTCACCAAGAAGGAGCTGCTGAGCACGGAGCTGCTGCTGCTGGCGGCCTTCAACTGGAACCTCTGCCTGCCCACGCCCGCCCACTTCCTGGACTACTACCTCCTGGCCTCCGTCAGCCAGAAGGACCAGCACTGCCACAGCTGGCCCACCACCTGCGCCCGCAAGACCAAAGAGTGCCTCAAGGAGTACGCCCACTACTTCCTAGAGGTCACCCTGCAAGGTGGGCCCGGTGTGGGGACCTGTGGCCCCTCCCCCACCACCCAGGGGCCAGGATCAGGTGGCACCAAGAGGCATGCATGTCCATCCAGAGAGGAGTTGTTGTTGTTGTTTTTAAATATATTTTATTGATTCTTTTTTTTAAAAAAATATATTTTATTGATTTTTTACAGAGAGGAAGGGAGAGGGATAGAGAGTTAGAAACATAAATGAGAGAGAAACATTGATCAGCTGCCTCCTGCACACCCCCCACTGGGGATGTGCCCACAACCAAGGTGCATGCCCTTGACTAGAATAGAACCTGGGACCTTTCAATCCATAGGCTGATGCTCTATCCACTGAGCCAAACCGGTGTTGGCATCCAGAGTTCTTACCGACTGGAGCCCATCCACCCAGATCACTCCCACTTTGCAAGGGATAAAGAGGAAAGGAACAGGATTCACCCAATGTTACCAGTCATGTGTAAAAGAGAAATAACAGCTTATTACAGGCCACTGGTATTCTACAACCTTCTGGTCACCTGTTAATGTTTCTGTGGTAACCTGCAACTTGTAAGATGATCTAAATAGGGGATAGATGTGCTGATAGATCAGTCTGGAAGAGCTGTATCACACAGATGGTGGTGGAGGGGGCTGTGTTTACATCTGCTCTAGCAATTCAGTTACCCGGTTTAGGGACTTAAATTCACATCTCACTCTTCCTAGTGTCTTAAAGTCCAGGTATTAGGTGAAATACTGGGTCAGAAAGACAGCTGATAACAGCCACCTAGTAACCCACCACAAACCAACATGGGTCATGTGTCACAGTATCAGGAGGTGTGATACCCAGCATTAACTGAGTGCTTACTGTGTACCTGGCACCTTACTTGAGTGCTTTGCCTACATCATCTCATTCGAACCTCCCAACAACTCCACATAAAAGTCATTTCTGCTATTCCATTCCCTCTACTGCTGCTCAAGAGGTGAAGGAACTTACCTCGGGTCATTGCTAACATTTGAACCTGGGGAGTCTTACTCTGCCACTGATTGTACCTGTAGCCGTAAGACCACCTTGACTAATTTCGTACTAAAACAGGCAAGTATTGAAACCACTGAAAATCACAAACAACTTAAGGCAGCCTGACAAGGCACCGATAACCAAATGTCATCCAGGAACATGGTAGGGATTTCAACAGTTTGCCTTTGCACATCAGTGGCAAGGCCATGTCACAAAATATCTCAGTGGGATGTTAAGCTTTCTCAGATCATCTCATGAGGTCTTCGTGCACCAGAGCATCACATGGTACACCTTACGTGGTCTGTTTTTATGTTAGTCATACTTCAGTAAAGCCAATCTGAGTGAGGAATAGCAAACTGCTGTAGTCACTCATTCTTACATTCGTTTATTCAAAAATATAACGTTTATTGAGTGCCTTCTGGGATCCAGGCTTTGTTTAATAATTAGCTTCTGAAATGGCATGCCAGTCACCCCTAACAACCAAAGAAAGGACAAATGTTTTGTAGCCCAATAGCAAACCCCTCGCAGCCCCCAGAAGCCCTGGACCACATTTTGAAAATCACTGCTCTAGGCTGACATCAGAAATTCCAGACTGAGAGCCAGGGTGCTTCAGATTTAAGAACTTGATGCTGTTCTCACTTTTTCATCGTGTATGTGTGTGTGTGTGTGTGTGTGTGTGTGTGTATAGTCTTGAACCTAATTGTCTACCGATTTAGGGGGCACAAACAAGGCAGGTAGGGCACCAGGCTTCCAGGCTTGGCTTTACAATGCAAACTGCCTCTGATTCCCTTTCAGACCATATTTTCTACAAATTCCAGCCTTCTGTGATCGCTGCGGCATGCATCGGGGCCTCTAGAATTTGCCTTCAGCTGTCTCCCTACTGGACCAGAGACCTGCAGAGGATCTCAAACTACTCCCTGGAACATCTCAGCTCATGCATAGAAATCCTGCTGGTGTAAGTTCCCCTTCTCCCTGCTACCGTGTTTCCCCGAAAATAAGACATCCTCTGAAAATAAGACCTAGCGCATGGAAAGATAAGACATCCCCTGAAAATAAGACCTAGCGCAACTTTGGGAGAAAAAATTAATATAAGACATTGTCCTATTTTCGGGGAAACAGGGTAGTGTCTCACGTAACGTGGTCCATGGTGAATCCTGATAGAATTGGGGTTTGGGGAGTTGGCCCTTTTTACTTGGGTTAGCTTTGGGTTTGCAGGTTTAAGGTCAAAGAGTGAGGGAGAAGAGGGGTTGTGTGCATGCCCTTCTGCTTATCTGGGCTCTTTGATCTGAGTCCCAGTGTGTCTGTCACTCATCATTCAGGGACTCTCATTATAAGTTGCTTTCTCTGATGTGGCCACAAAGCTGACCACAGCTAAGCCCAGAATGGCTTAACATAAGAGGCCACCGCTTCCTTGCAAGGATCCCCGGGAATCTGGGGGAGAACACCTGCAGTGTGTGGGAGAAGATGCTTTTAATGGCATTGTAGACCCGGCACCGTGAAACTGACATCAGAGTGGACGAGTTCAGTGGTGACGTCAGGACAGAGAGGACCGAAAGGTCCGACCTGGCTGCACCCAGTCCCTCTTGCACCTTGCAGGTGGCAGCATCTCCTACGTGCACAATCCCACTGAACCCGGGGCCAGGTCCTTAAGAGTCACCTCTTGGTCTCCTCGTGTGGGAAGCTTTGCTGGTGGCGGCCCTTGTCTCATTCCTTTGAAATGTCAGTCCCTCTTGCCCCGGGCCTTGTTTTAAAACCTGGCCCTTCTATTTTATTTTTGTTTGTTTGTTTGTTTTTAAAATGTTTTTATTGATTTTTAGAGAGAGAGAAAGGGAGAGGGACCCAGAGAGAGAAACTTCAATCGATTGCCTCAAGCATGCCCCCTATTGGGAATCGAGCCTGCAACCCGGGCATGTGCCCTGATTGGAACGGAACCAGTAACCTTGTGCACAGGGTAGTACCCAATCAATCAAGCCACACTGGCCAGGACTAAAGCCAGAGAAGCGATCTGGTCTGAGTGCTGCCAGGTGCTCTGGATTCTTAGCTGCCAATCCTGACTCTTCGTGGCTGTCACACTGGGATGGCCCCCTTCTCAGACCTGCTACAGCCCCTGTTGGCTCCTTTCTTACATTCCCCTTTATGATGGAGAAACTAAGGCCTCGTGGGCAACTTGCTAGCTCAGGAGTGGCCTGGCTGGGATGGGGCTGCTGGAAGGGCCTTGAAGGCAGAGGCGGTGCTCATCTAAGCACCGGGGGTCTGCCCAGGTGTGCGGGGTGAGCAGGGGCAGATGGGCCTTCCCTGTGGAAGGTCACTTATCGGCACGGTGTGGGGGCCAGGTGGTAACCCGGAAGTTATCCCCTGGGGTGTGAGGTGGGGCAATGCAGGGGCTGTAGGACAGCAAGGCTTGTTTTGAGGGGTCAGGAGAGGTTTTTGTCAGATCTGAGGTCTGAGGTCTGGGGTTAGTCGGGACAGTCACTGAGGCAAGGCTGGAGGCAGTGAGCACGGCTGGGCAAGGTCTGGCGGGAACAGCACGCAGATCCCACTCAGCAAGGCAGGTAGAGGCGCTCGGGTGTCTGCCTCTACCCGCCGAGTCTCACCCAGGCCCTTCCCTTCCAGAGCCTATGACAATGTCCTCAAGGATGCCGTCGCGGTCAAGAGCCAGGCGTTGGCCATGGTGCCCGGCACATCCCCAGCCCCCACCCAGATGCTGTTTCAGCCCCCCGCCTACCCCGCCCTCGGCCAGCCGACGCCCGTGGCCCTGGCCCAGTTCCAGACGCCCGTGCAGGACCTGTGCTTGGCCTATCGGGACTCGCTGCAGGCCCACTGCTCCGGCAGCCTGCTCTCCGGGGGCACGAGTTCGTCCCTCCACTCCCCGTACCCTTCCCTCCAGCCTCTGGACGTGTGCCCCGTGCCCCTGCCGGCCTCGCTCAGCATGCAGATGGCCGTCACAGCCGAGCCCAGGCACTGCCTCGCCACCGCCTACAGGGGCAGCTACTTCAGTGGGAGCCACGCGTTCCCCACAGGCTGTTTCGACAGATAGGGGGGCCCTGGAGACCCGGGCAGAGGAAGAAGACGCTGATGAGGGGAGCTCAGGGGAGCCAGGCGACTGGGAGGCCACCCCCGCAGAGCCTCATTGCCCTTGACCAGAGAGGGTCTGGCGCTCTTCATAAGGAAAATGGACCCAGAGCAAAACGGTCCATGAGATACCTCACTCAAGAGCACTCCCCTGGAAAACGCCTTTCACACGTGCCTGGGTGCAGGGGCGAGGCTCAGGGCCGTCCACTGGAGCAGGGCCCGGAGAATGGAGAAACCCGGCAAGAGGCAGAGGGTCTGGGAGCTGGATGCAGACACCAGTCCGCAGGCACGTCCCGTGTTTAGCATCAGCGACTCCTTGACTCGTTGCCGGTGGCAGCTACACCACTGAAGAAGGGGCAGCCGGACATGTTCTTGGGACCCCGGTAGCTGTCAGATCGGGTGCTTTTGTCTCCCTGGCTCCATGCTGGGGCCTGTGTGTGTGTGTGTGTGTGTGTGTGTGTGTGTGTGATGCCCAAGCGTCTGCCTCCTGAGGGTATGGTGCGTGCCTGTCTCGCCTCCACTGTCGAAGCTAAAACCTAATTCGCCCTTTAGAACATTTCACATGCTGCTGCTTCCTGAAGTGACCTAGCCTTCTGTTCAGTAAGAAGTCTTGTTTACATACTGTATCAGGGATCTTGTGATACTTGAAAATTCCTCGGGAGAAAAACAATGCTGATTGCCGCATTGCCTGCCCCCACGCCCAGGCTGTTCCTTTTACCCCCGGCTGGTGACCGACCCCGAGGGTCATCGCAGAGCTCCCTTTGCAGAAGCGTAGGGCTGGGGAGAGCCACTTTCCTGTCTCTGGGTTCCAGAAGAGTCCACAGCCTGGAGGCTGTGTTCACCTGTAGGACTTCCATAACCACCCAGGGGTAAAAGGCTGAAAGGTAGACTAAGGTTTAAGCCCACATCCTCACCTCCTCCTACCTGCTTCTAGTGCGTGAGGTTAACCCAGCCTCGGCCTTGAGTGTGGCTAATTGCAAAGGGTAATGATGTGGAACGTGTGCTTAATGCCAGCTGGATTTGGGGAGTGGGGGTGGGAGTGGGAGCGTGTAGGACGCCACAGTGACAGGCACATGATCGGTTGGATCAGAAGCCGCGAGGGGCTCTCAGGACCATTCTGATGGCCATGTGCAATATGTGTTTCTTCCGACTCATGGCTTGTACTCATCATGGTTGTGTGTGGTTTTTTTGTTGGATTGGGATTGGGGAACACGTTGTTCAACCAACAGAACTGGGAGGTGCAAAGGACCCCCGAAGCATTTGTTTTTGTTTTTTAAGGAGAACCCATGTCGGGTTTGTTGACTCACTTGCACGCTGCGGAGTCTGGAGCCGGTCCGAAGGTGATGTTCCAAGCAGGACAGGCCTCCGCGTGGAAACGGGACGAGAAGAGACTGGACGTGGGTGTGGCGCTGCCACATTGCCACACTCGCATAGGACACTGCACATTCGTTTGTTTTTTTTTTCTCCTTTTCCTTCCCCAACCTCCTATTTATGTGCGACTGGTTTGGATTCCAAGTTGTTGTACCTGTTTATTCTGTGGCTGGAGGCTTGTGAGGGGTGCCCAGAAAAGAGGTCTCCCAATAAACATCACCTGCTCTAGGTCTCCGGATTCTCTTCCTTTCAGCCAGCTGCGCCCCGCCCGCCCTTCCACCTCAGCCCCGAGGGTGTCTGGCTCATGCTGAGAGCTTGTGGGGGAAGGGCCACGGCGGAACTGGCTCTTGTGGAGCTGGTGGGTCTGGCCCTCTGGGGACTTGGGCAGCTGATGTGAATAAGGCTTGACACCCCAGCTCCACCACGGAATCAGTCACGGTTCTCCAGAGAAACAGAATCCATGACCAGTATGTGAGAGAGATATTTACTTTAAGGAGTTGGCTCAGCCTTGCAAATGCCTGGCTTACATTCAATGTCAAGTTGTACTCTCCCGTCCTCCCAGTTCCACGTCTATCTCTCCAATGCCACCTGTTCTCACATCCGAATTCTCTTCTTGGTTTCAGTGATTCACGTGACAGTGTCTGGAGTATTTTGTTGGTTGTCATCATTGGAGAAGGAGCATGGCTGGCAGTTAGCAAGTAGAGGTCAGGGATGATGCTCAACAACTTACAATACCCAGGTCAGCCCCCACAACAAAGAATTATCAGGCCCAAAATGGCAGGAGTGCCAAGGTTGAAAAACTTTAACCTCTATATCACCTCCCAAAGAGGTCTCTTGTAATACCTTCCAATCACTCTGTCATTATCCCCTTTTAATTTTCTTCCTGGCTGCAAAAGCTTCTGAAATGATCTTGTTAGAAATGTTTACTTGACTGATGGTTGTGTCCTATACTATCTAGCACTAATAGAATATATGGAGTATCACTGCCTGTTGATGTCAGCACTAATCATAGCAGCTGGCTTTTTTTAAATTTTTATTTAAATTCTTTATTGTTTAAAGTATTACATGGGTCTCCTTTTCTTCCCATTTGACCTCTCCCCAGCTGCTCCCAACCCCCAGCACATGCCTCTTACCCCTCCCCCCGCCCCGCCTTCCCTCAGAAATTGGGCAGCTGGCATTATTGAGCATTTGTTGTGCTAGGGACTTTGCTGGCTTTTTTCTGTAATCATCCCAGTTACCCTACAAGGCAGGGACTTTATTGGCTGTATTTTACAGGTCAGAAAGCGGGCAAGGAGAGATTATTTGCCAGCAGTGGTGAGGGAAGGAGCCATCATCATTCACACCGAGGCAGTCAGGAGCTGCCCCGTGTTGCCTCAGGGGTTTTGAATGAGTGAAAGACACTGTAGCAGTCCCACTTGCCCGGTGGGAAGACGTGACAGAATAATGAACATGGGTTCATAAAAGAAAGGGGTTGTCTGGCGTTCATGCTCCTTCGTTAGAGTGGCAGGCATTCTCTCAGAGCGTGCTCACCAGCGGACAGAAATGCAGAAACATCGGTTCTTGCACACCTACCACAGGCTGGTCCATGGGTCTGCCCCAATGGGCTCTGATCTGGGAAGGGGTTCCCCGTCTATGAAGGTAGAGATCTGGGACCGGCTTGGGGAATCCCAGGCACCGAGTACCTGGAAAGGAAGCTTACCAGCCCCCATCATCTCATTATCTGTTCTGCAGGGAAGACCTTGTGGCCTGGATTTCAGCAGAAAGGCCGTAGCATTGACAGGCCAAAACCGGTTTGGCTCAATGGATGGAGCTTCGGCTTGGGGACTGAAGGGTCCCGGGTTCAATTCCGGTCAAGGGCATGTGCCTTGGTTGCAGGCATGTCCCCAGTGGGGGGTGTGCAAGAGGCAGCTGATGGATGACTCTCTCTCATCGATGTTTCTAACTCTATCTCTCTCCCTTCCTCTCTGTACAAAATCAATAAAATGTATATTTTTTTTAAAAAAGAAAGAAAAATAAAGGCCGTAGCATTGACAGGAGTCTCAAGTCCAAATGCCCACCAGGACCAGGCAGGCAACATAGTGGATCACAGAGGTGGGGAGTGTTGAAGCCATTGGCCCTGCAGAGCAGGGGTGGGGAATGTCCAGCCCTCAGGCCGTATAAGGCCCTCAAAATCATTTGGCCTGGCCCTGCCAAGGCATTAGGAGTGAATTGATTAAATGTTGGACCAGCCGAAACTGGTTTGGCTCAGTGGATGGAGCATCGGCCTGCGGACTAAAAGATCCCAGGTTCAATTCCGGTTAAGGGCATGTAACTTGGTTGCGAGCACATCCCCAGTGGGGGGTGTACAGGAGGCAGCTGATCGATGACACTCGTCGATGTTTCTAGCTATCTATCCCTCTCCCTTCCTCTCTGTAAAATATCAGTAAAATATTTAAAGTAAAATAAAATAAATGTTGGACCAAATATAGCAGGCTAACTTTTAAGTTGATAAGTTTGTATGGCCCACGAATTGCATTTATAAATATCCAAGTGGTCCTTGGCAGAAAAGAGGTTACCCTACCCCTAATCTAGAGGATATGGCTCCTACTTAACTGTGGCCAATAATACCTTTCAGGGATATAAGCTTTGTGTTGCCCAAGCCTCAGATTTCCAGAAAAACTGGAAGTCTGCACTTTCTAAGAAATCTAAATTTTTAATATAAAACTTAAATTTAAAAAACATTTTAACACGATAGAAGGTCAACATAATATATTGTAGGTCAGAGTGGTTCTTGGCTGGAAGCTTGCTACATCTAGCACCATATCGACAAGAACGTTGGGCCCGAGAAGTGGAAGATGGCCTGAGTTTGCTCTTAGCTAGTTGACCTTGAGAGATACCACCTCTCCACTCTGAACCTCTGTCTCATTGTCAGTCAGGAAGGTCATCAGCCTTCACTTCAGGTTTATGGTAAGAACACATGGAATATATGGCATCATTATGCAACAGTGAGTTCTATGAGACATGAATAAATGGGCTCCTCCTTTTGGGGGCTCAGGTGAGCCTCTGAGCTTCATCTCCTTCAAACCCAGCTCTAGCTTTGAAGGAAGATGAATTCGAGTGGTCAGCCATCTACTGGGCCAGCTGTGCCCAACTGCTTTAAGCCCCTGACCTTGCCAGAGACACAACAGGCAGGATATGTGGGGAGTCGGGCCTTCTGCTCCTCCATAGCTGTGTGGACGGGGGCAGGTCATTTCCCTTTTCTAGGTCTCAGTTTTTCCATCTGCAAAATGGGATGGTTGAAACTGGAACAGTCTCAAGGTCACGCCTGGCTCAGGAGCAATTCACAATGATAGCTCCCTGGCCTTTGTACCTTAAAGAGCTTGATTCAGCGGGTCTAGGGTAGGGGTTGGGCTATCTTTTTAACACGTGCACAGCCAGGTTTGCTCTAAAAGTTCTGACCCTGTATGTATCCATCCTCCCATAGAACCAACAAAGGAGGGCCCTTATCAGTAATGCCTGTTTACTGAGCACTTACTATGTTCTAGACCCTGTACATGACACTTTCCTCCTGCTTTCTTATTCTCCTACTCTTATTTTGCCCTCACAACACCGGGAACTAGAGTTAACATCATTTTCCAGAGGAGGATACTGAGGTTCAGGGAGGCTCAAGGTCTCACCATGGGCAAGTTGTAGGAGTGAGAGTTTCACACTTAGATATGCCTGACAGGCGAGCAACATGGCCTCCAATGCCTGTTACCCCCAAATAGCACATACACACCAGCATCAAGGCCCAATCACCTAGGATTTCACAGCTTGATCCCTTTACTGACCTCCACCCCCATTCCCCCCCAAAATACACTTGCATCTTGGTGCCCATAGGTGGGTGGCGGAGTGCCACCTAGTGGTGATCTATAAAAATGCTTTGGGCAGTTCCCTGTTCCGCTAGAATGTCAGGAGGAATGTGGTTGCCCTGGCAGAGTGGAAGAGAGGGCTCCCAAGGTCAGGATGAAGGTCATAAAGAGCCTGGGTTAAGGCTACCTGCACTGAGTGGAGAGTCACTACAAAATCTTGGAACAGCACAGCAAAATGATGATGCTCCTCTAACTTCGGAAGCCACTAGCGTGGATTTTTACCCTTTATCCTTGCAAATCCTCTGTTAGCCAAGGGAAGGTCAGATTAGTCCACTTGACACAGGGACAAGATAGGACTCTGAGCCACCCAGTGGCTTGCCCGTGTGCCTCACAAGTAATGGAAGAGGCATTCCTAAACCTTTCATCACACCGGCTTGAGAATGAGGGTGGTGATAATGGAGATGAGGGTGGTTGTGGTGGCAGCAGCTACTTACTAGTTACTGAGCTTGTAGCATGACCGCTTTATCAGGTAAGTACATTTATTATCCCCATTTACAGGTGAGGAAATTGAGGCTCTAAGAAATGGATGAACTTACCCAAAGGTAGCACAGCTTCTGGGTGCCAGAGGAGGGATTTGAACTCTGGCAATGTGATGTCATCATCGAAGATCTTAACCACCTTCCCTTCTACTGGCTCTCTGCCACGATGTGAGCAAAATGGACACTTTTGTCACTTCACTCCATTTACCCTCGTGAGCTGGACTCAGAAACTAGCCTTCATTAGCCAGCGATGTCCAACTGCACATTACTCACAGAGAGTCCCTCTCCGCTGTGCGATCTCAGATGAATTTCTTTCCCTCTCAGAGCCTGGTTGCCATATCTGTGAAACAGAGTCTAAACAAGGTGAGCTGTGAGGTCCTGCTAGTCCATGAGTGTGTGAATCTATAACAACACAGACGTAAGAATTTCTTCCCTGCCAATAATTTGAATTTGTTCTTGAATCAGTTTCCATGGTAAAAACAATCTCAATTTTTAGCCCAATTATGGTTAACTCGCTGTTATTTACGTAGAGACTTATTATCCAAGAACAGGATGAGTAATTATTCAGTCTGGAGGGGAAATGTTCGCACTGCTAGTTTAATTTAATGCTTACCTAGTTCGGCTAATTAACAATAAGTCTTGGCAAAACGATGGAATTCATGGGGTCCTGGCGGTGGGTGAGTCGGGGAGGCTGAGTGCTGTTCTTGGAAAGATAAACAAGCTTCAGGGCGGAATGAGGGAGGAGGCAAGGGGTGAACTGTCAGTGGGGTAGGCCGTGCCCTCTGTCCAGGCCGAAGTCGGCCTTCGAGATTACAGGCTGTAGACTACACGGGCTGCAAGGATGTTAGGCCAAGTAGCACTTACTAAGCCCCTGAAGTGTGCACAGACCCTTATTTCTTATACCCCATGTGTGAGACTTCTATATTGAAGGTAATTTAGATAATTCACTTTTTTTTTTACTTAGGTTTTAAATATATATATATATATATATATATATATATATATATATATATATATATTTGCTTTTAGAGAGGAAGGGAAAGGAAGAGGTAAAAATATCAATGATAAGCCCTAGCTGGTTTGGCTCAGTGGATAGGGCATCGGCCTGCAGACTTAAGGGTTTCTGGGTTCCATTCCTGTCAAGGGTACATGCCTGGGTTGCCAGCTCAATCCCCAGCAGGGGGCGTGCAAGAGGCAGCCAATCAATGATTCTCATCATTGATGTTTTTCTCTCTCTCCCTGCCTTTCTGAAATCAATAAAAAATATATATAGATATATTAAAAAAAAGAAAGAAAGAAAGAAAAGAAAAGAAATATCAATGATAAGAGAGAATCATCCTCTTGCCTCCTGCATGCCCCGCTGCTGGGGATCGAGCCTGCAACCCCGGCATGTGCCCTGACCCCAAATCCAACCTTGACCTCCTGGTTCATAGGTCGGTGCTCAACCACTGAGCCACACCAGCTGGGCAGTAATTCATCTCGTACACAGTAGTTATTTAGTAAAATAGTCCCTTATCCGCAGTTCCCCTTTCCACGGTTTTGGTGACCCCATGGCCCACCACCTCCAAAAATAGTCAATAAAAAAATTCCAGAAATAAACAGTTCTTGTTTTAAACTGATGGCCATCCATCCTGAGTAGCTTGCTGAGATCTCGCGAGACCCACTGGCTGCGGCCAGAACGTGAATCGTCCCTTCTTCCCCCTTGACGTCGCTGCACGCGCCCGCCCTTCCCGCAGCCGCCGGGAGGCGTCCTGGTGACCAGGTCTTCCGTGTCCGGAGCGCAGGACTTCTGCCCAAGGACCCTTTATTTTACTTCACCACGGCCCCGGGGCTCAGGAGGAGTGTTGCTGGCGGTTTGGACGTGACACAGAGGTTACGTGTCGTCAGGAGGTCAGACGCAGCCTAAGGCTCGACATCACTCCCCGCATCTCGTCATGGCAGCGCAGCGCGTCATGTCATGCTGCATCGTCATGAGCAGGGTGAGTCCAGTCCACAATGAGAAACTTTTAGAGGAAGAGACACCACATTCACGTAACTTGTATTACAGTCTATCGTTGTAAGGGTTCTATTATTATTAATTTCTAGCTGTGCCTAGTTTACCGATTAAACTTTTTAAAGAACAATTTTATTTTATTTTGATTTTTAATCCTCACCCAAGGATATTTTCCCATTGATTTTTAGGGAAAGTTGAAGAGAGAGGGAAAGACAGAGAGAAACATCGATGTGAGAGAAACACATCGATTGGTTGCCTCCTGCACGAGCCCTGACCAGGGCCCAGGCTGGAGAGGAGCCTGTGACCGAGGAACATGCCCTTGACCGGAATCGACTCCCTGGTCTGCAGGCTGATGCTCTATCCACTTTAATTTATTTAGGGCATAAATAAAACGTTATGTATAGGGATAAAGCAGAATATCTAGGTTCGGTACTTGACAGTCTCAGGCACTCACTTCAGGGGGTCTTGGAATAAGGTGGGGGACTGTAATTCTTCTCTCTTCAGTGGTCTTGCAATATTATTCATTGGGAAATTCCCGCTTGATGCTACTGTAACTTTATATCTCTCGCTGTTCACAAAGGAAGGTCTCGGCTCAGGGCTGTGAGCAGGCAAGAGAACCAAGCTGGTCGCCAACATCGCTGTTTCAGTGTTTTTAAATAGTTTTCTTTATAAGCAGATGACAGTGGCTTTTCATGTGTAGAAGTGACATACAGTTTTCACTGTAGTAAAAATGGGTGAATTGTCGTGCAGAAAAATACGGGGTTAAAAAGAGATCAAGGCGGTACCCAGCTGTGGCGACACTCCCAGAAGGTGGGAGGGGATGCAGGGCCCTTCCGTGCCCTGGGTTAGGGGTTGTCTTGCTCGAGGCCAGCAGGCCTTTTTCCACTCCCAAGGCCTGGCAGACGCTGTCACCAGGCAGGGACATCTGCTCAGTCCAGATGCTGCCTCGGAACCCTCCCTGACTCAGAGCTGCAGGCACCCACCAGGGGGTCGGAGTGACCCTCTGACCACCTTCCCCATCCACCACTGCCTCTCAGTTTTTCCCAGGCACCGCTGCCCAGCTACTAGTCCAAACCATGACATCCCAGTCCTTTCCTGTCATTCTCATTGCCCCTTGGCAACTCATAGGCTGTCATTTTTCCTCAGTCTCTCACCAGTTCTCCTGGCCCCCCCTTTGTAGCAGTAGGTAAACTGAGGCCCAAAGGAATGACTCCAGAGGAAATTAGCGGCAAAGCCAGGGATGTGCTGTGCAGCCTTGTAGCAGAGCAGCAGGGGCCTTTCCTGGAAATGCCATTCCTTCCCTCCCCCCCTCTCCCTACACACCAGTTCTGATATGCTTGTCCTGTGACCCATCGCAGAGTCAGTGTGTCACCCCTTCCAGGTGGCATTTGTCTCTTTAGGGGATTATCTCCACCCACACGATGGGTGGCAGAGTGGGGTGTGGGGTCCACAGTAGGGTGCACCTTTGGCCTCTTGCAGAGGCTCAGGGGTATCCACACACAGAAGATTCCTTCTGGCATGACACAGATCCCACAGGGATCTCGGGGCCAAGGTCTGGCCGGTGTACCCATCCTCAAGGGTTTCCCACCCCCACCCAGCCAGAAACTACCCCCAGGACTCCAGAAAACAAAGACACAGAGGATCTGGAGTGAGCGGAATGTCCATCCTTGGACCAGCTTTATTGGAGGCTCTGGAGCCCCTCGGAGCCCCGCCTGCTTGCTCAGGCCAGCCTCTTGCTCACACGCTCATAGGTCACGCCTCCGATGGTGGAGATCTGAAAGAAACAGCGGAACAGAGGGCATCAATGCAGGGATCCCTGGGTGACGGTGGGGCACAGCTGACAGAAGACCATCCCCAGTCTCAACCCGGAGTAGAAATGACTCAGTTGCACCGCTTCTCTGGGCCTGTTTTTCAAGTTGCTAACACGAATCACTGCACAGACTCAATGTAGCAAAGGTGCTAAGCAGATGACTTTGCAGGTAACATTCCACCTGTTTGTTCATTTCAGTTCACCAGACCAGTCACTTCCCTTGCATTACTCCACTGGAACCTCGCAGCAGCTCTGCAAGGTTGCCCCCATTGTACCGATGGGAAAACTGAAGTTTAAAAATATATTTTATTGATTTTGTACAGAGAGGAAGGGAGAGAGATAGAGAGTTAGAAACATCGATGAGAGAGAGAGAGTCATCGATCAGCTGCCTCTTGCACACCCCCTACTGGGGATATGCCCGCAACCAAGGTACATGCCCTTGACCGGAATCGAACCCGGGACCCTTCAGTCCCCAAGCTGGCGCTCTATCCAATGAGCCAAACCGGTCTCGGCGGAAAACTGAAGTTTAAAGAAGTTGAGTCATCCCTATGTCAAGAGGCCACCCTCAACCTCTGCACCATTTGGGGTTTGTGGGGCACCCGTGCCCGGTGATGGGCAGGTGTGGCCCCTGCCCTCGGGAAGCATAAGGTTTTGTGAAAAAGGCAGGCAAGAGGATACTGTTCAGTGAAGGCCCCTGTGTGTGGTACAGGGCTCAAGGTCACGGAGACATGCTGTCCTAAGATGTGCATGTTGGCTGTTGTTCTTCACAGAGAAGCAGCAAGCTTTCCTCTTAACTTCACCTCCCATTTCTTTCCCTTGGGGAACATGGTGGAGCCCCAGGTTTGGGGGGGTAGGCGCTAGAAATGGAAGTGAGATGAAGGGCATCCCAGGACAGCATTTCAACCCGTGTTTACAGAGCACCAAGTATGGGAGGGGTCAATCCACAGGTGTTGGCCCTGCCAGGATTTTAAAAAAACAGCTGAAACTGGTTTGGCTCAGAGGATAGAGCATCAGCCTGCGGACTGAAAGGTCCCAGGTTCGATTCTGGACAGGGGCATGTGCCTTGGTTGCAGGCACATCCCCAGTGGGGGGTGTGCAGGAGGCAGCTGATCGATGATTCTTTCTCATCGGTGTTTCTAACTCTCTATCCCTCTCTCTTCCTCTCTGTAAAAAATCAATAAAATATATATATTTTAAAACATTTCATTAGTTGTCAACATTGAATCTGGATATTTCACAAAGAAGTGCACATTTCTAGCCTCTCTAGAAAAATCAGAAGATTTAGCCGGAGCAGCGTGTTGGTCCTGGCAGGGTTCTCCTGGACTTCCCCTCATTGACACTGGAGGAAAGTCCCACAGGCTTCCAGACTTGGGCACCAGAGTCACAAATCCCAGCTTCATCATAAAAGCTATGTGTCCTCCAGCTAATCACTTAGCCTCCCCAGGCCTCAGTCTCCTCACCTGTAAAATGGGGATAAGAATCCCTCCCTTCCAGGGTTATTGTGAAGATCAAATGAGAGCACAAGGCCTGGCACACAGGAAGTTCTTATAAAGCCAGGCGCTCTGGAAGCCGGCCACTCAGGGGCCCTGGCTGGAGGCAGAAAAACACTCCAGTCCTCCCGGGATCCAGCAGGACACTCACCTCCACCAGCTTGCCGCCCACGATCTCTGAGGTCTGGTGATAGTTGGGGAATTCCACCACCACCTTCCCGCCCTCCATCTGCACAGTCGCCTGGAAAGGAAGCATAGCACTGAGTGTGAGTGGGCGGAGCCCTGCAAATGCAGGCCAGACCCTCAGGGCTGAAGGTCCTCTCTGCAGCCCCCGCAGTCCTCTCTGGGAATTCATGTGCCTTACATAAACCAAAGATGCAGATCACCTGCACAACTCACTCAGCCTTGCTGTGCCTCAGTGGTACATCACTAAAATGAGCTAGTAACTATATACCTACTTCTTAGAGTTATTGTGAGGAGTAAGTGACTTAATATGGCACATGTCAAGTGTTTACTGGTACAACATGCCAGGCACTGTGAGTTGTGATCATCATCATGAGGGTGATGTTGTCTAAGGGTGTTGCTTGCCGATTGTGACTGTAAACAACCTATCTATCCAATCTAGCCTACCCACTGGGAAACAGCCTAAATATCTAGTCATGAGTGAGTGTCAAATAAATTACAGCATTTCCATACCATAGGATATCGTGCGGCATTTAAAAAGAATAAGACAAATTGATATGGACCACAGACACAGAAAGATATTATGGGAGATCGTTAAATTTTTAAAAGAGCCGAGTGTAAGGCTTCAATGGCGCAATCGGTTAGCGCACGGTACTTAAAAGAGCCGAGTGGCAGGATATGAATATAATGACTACTTCTTGTTCACATGGCAGCTTGAAGAGGAAAGTACTCATGGGCATGGTTAGGGGGCTCCGGAGGGGACCCAGAATGGATAGAAGACCTGAGGGATCTGCAGGACTGGCCTGGGCAGGATGGGAACAGCCAGCCAGCCAGCCACCTTTCACTTCTTTGCTACCTAAGAGTGCAGTTTCAGGCCCAGGTGAGGCTGGTTCTAGGGTCTACTTCAATTCTAGGCTACCCGAAAGCAGCATAAAAGGTATGCTTTCTGGAGCCAGACTGCCTGGGTGTGAAGGCCTGTCCCTGCAGTGTGATTGGGCAGGCTATTTAATCCCAGGGCTCAGACCAACTTCCCCATCCGTAAACCCAGCTAATTATTGTGAAGTATTCGGCAAGTGTCTGGAGGCTAGACTAGAGAAAGACACTTCAGGTTGAGGAGCAGCCCCATGGGACATATTTGAGACCCAGAAGTTAGCTGGAGGCCTGAGGAAAAAGGGAGGAGTGGCCAGTGGCTTCTCACCTTGAACTTCTTGCCTCCCATGGTCTCCATGTCGCACTCCTTGCCAATGGTGAACTTGTTGGTCATGGAGTGACCCCCGGGGTAGTGCTGGGACCAGGTGAAGTTCTGCCCATCCTGCTGGACCTCCGTGATGATCTTGAAATTACGGCCCTTTTCAATCGCATCGCTGGGGAGCCCTGGCCCAGGGGGACAAGCAGAAGGGCCATGTCAGAGCTGCTTACAACATGGGGCTTTGGGAAAGAGCCCCCCTCCACGGGGCAGGCTACCCTGACAGTTACAAGCACAAATTTCAGTTCTACCATGAGCCATTGCAGCTTGGGCAAGTATCTCTCCAAACCTCAGTGTTTCCATCCACAAAAATGGATATAATAAGGCCCATTTTCCAGGGCTGGTGCAAGGATTAAAATATGTCATGTAAACTCCTGCCATGTAGTTTATACTTAATAAATAAAAGCAGTTCCTCTGATAGTGACATTACATAATTATCACAGAAACTTGCCAAGCTCACAAAGTTCTAGAATGAAGGGGACCTTCAAGACTATCTTCACTGATTAGGAAATGTGGACCCACAGCGGGAAAGGGGCCTCCCGGCATTTCAGTCGAGGTGCGGGCAGCACCAGGTCTAGAACTGGGACTGGCTCCCTTCTCATTCCTCACTAGACTGCTAAAGGGGGGGCCAAGTCACTGGGCCTCCAGAGGGGACCCAGAATGGGTACAAGACCTGAGGGACCTGCAGGACTGGTCTGGGCAGGATGGGAACAGTCAGCCAGCCAGCCACCTTTCACTTCTTTGCTACCTAAGAGTGCAGTTTCAGGCCCAGGTGAGGCTGGTTCTAGGGTCTACTTCAATTCTAGGCTACCCGAAGGCAGCATAAAAGGTAGTTATGCTTTCTGGAGCCAGACTGCCTGGGTGTGAAGGCCTGTCCCAGCAATTGACACAGAAGGGCTTTGGTCTCCCCAAGGCCCCAGGGCACATGAGCACTGCTCTGGGGGCCTCTCTGTCACCAGGATGAGGGCACTGGTCCCTGACAGTTGCACTGCTTCAGTCTTAGAGCACCAGGATTTCTGCAGGATTGTCAATCTCACTGTCTCATTGGTTCCTCACAACCCGTGCTGCAAATTGAGCAAGTAAGAGGCGTGGGGTCTTTGATCTCTCTGCCCACAGAGCCTAACACAGCAAGAGGCCTTTGTTTGTTGAATGACTGAATGAAGAAGGAGCTTATCAAATTTAGTCTATGTAACTCCTTGGTCACCTTTTACAAGGCATGATGTGGGGATATCACTCATCATCTCAGCATAAGTTCCTGGGTGCTAATATCCTCTGCCAGAGGCTTACCGTGACCTTGAGCAAGAGCTGTGGTGGCCCTTCAGGAACAATGAGTTGGCCTTTGCCATACAGTAGGTGTTCAATAAATGTTGGAATGAATGAACCAATTAAGTCTCTACTTCACCCATTTCTAGCTGTATAACCTTGGACTAGTGACTCCACTTCTCTGGGCCTCAAGTTTTCTATCCGTAAATTGGAGATACTAATATTCCCTAAGGGTTTTAAAGCCAAAGAGTCTATTTGGTTCTTATTAGCCTGAGAACCTGCAACAGAGGCTCAACAAATGAAGGAGTAATTGAATGAGTAAATGAAGTTCTGTCCCATTCTATCCTAGGAATTTGGGTTCCTGTTACAGACCAGCCCAGGAAGATGTTCTTAGAACCCCACTCACCGAGGCGCTTCATGAACTCGTCATAGTTCTTCTCACTCTCGATCTCGTACTTGCCGTTGAAGGCCATGCTGCCGGGAGACCTGGAGGACAGGGAGCAAGGGGTGAGGAATAAGGTTCGTGGTGCTGAAGGGTCTGGTGGCCCAGCTTATAAACCCTCCCAGATGCTGAGGCTCAGCCCCTGAGTCACCCCACTTCTTCCTCCTACCCCTGAAGAGGAAGTGTTTGATGTTTTATGATGTGGGCAAGGCCTGGAGGAGCAGAGCCCTGAGGTTATTCACCCAGAGAAGTGCTGGCTGCAATCCCATTGCCGTTGGAATCCCATTGCTATTGCAGTCCCATTGCTAGTCCCAGCAGAACCAGGTCCAGCACTGCCACAGGGCCTGGGGTGTTATCCATTCTGCCCATCCCTCCCTGCATTCACCCAGACCCTGCTCTCCATCCATGCTCATTATCCCTCATTTATTCTTTTACCCTCCATTCACCGACCAAAGTGCATGGAGCACCTCCTGCATGGGCCAGCAGTGCTAAAACACTGAGATATACACTCTTCCCAGGTGCCTGGTGCATCTTTGTGTAGAAGGCATTTGACATAGGTCTTAAAGGAACAATAGGATTTTTTTTTTCCCCCAGAGAGGAAGGGAGAAGCAGAGGAGATAGAAACATCAATGATGAGAGAGAACCATTGATTGACTGTCCCCTCCTGCCCCTTACTGGGAATCAAGCCTGCAACCTGAGCATGTGCCCTTGACCTGAAGAGAACCTGGGATCTTTCAGTCTACAGGATGACGCTCCATCCACTGAGCCACACTGGCTAGGGCCAACAATAGGATTTGGATGTTAGGACAAGCAGTAAGATTGGAAGCTAAGAACATAGGAAAACAACACAGCAGGATAAGGGAACAGTGTGAGGAAGGTAAAAAAAAAAAAAAAAAAAAAAAGAGGCCAGGTTGAAAGGAAACAATAAGTTTGGCTGTAGCAAAGAGTACTTGAAAAAGAACTGATACAAGCCCAGCCAGTGTGGCTCAGTTGGTTGAGCACTGTCCCATGTACCAGGAGGTCACTGGTTCCCCATTAGGACATATGCCAGGGTTTCCAGCTTGACCCAGTAGGGGGCATACAGGAGGCAGTCAATCGATGTTTCTTTCTCATCAATATTTCTATCTCTCTCATCCTGAAATCAATAAAAACATGGGAATAAAAAGAAAGAATAGATACAAGAAGGGCGCAGAGAACACAAGCAGGGTAAAACAGCAGCCCATGGACCCAGGGAGCCAACCTGGAGGTGCAAGGGTGTGTGAAGACCCACTGTGTGACATTCATTGGTGAGGAGCTTAATGAACTTTGCATTGTTCAAGCTTCACAGCTGTGAGGGCTAGGAGTTTCGATCCCTGACTTCTGGCTCCTGTCTGTCTCTAGCACCAGTTCACACACACGCGGGGACTCCATTATCCCAGTGTAACTCCTGTCCTGCCTCTCACTCTCTCACTCTCTCATGGGACTGACCTCTGGACCCAACAGATTGACAGTGAAAAGCCTGAAGCACTCTATGAAGCCTCTCCTTCTTATTATTAATTAGGAACATTTTTCAAATCTGTCTCTTTTTCCAGAGTCAGCTCTCCATGAATCCCCATCATTTCTTTAGAATTCGCCACAGTTGCTAACCCCCAGACCTGGGAATCAGCGATTTCTAAACTCATGAAACCAGTTTTGCCACATTTTGCCAGTCTTCAGTCTCCATTCTTGGAATTTCTTACCCCAACCAGGATTCTTATTTTTTAAAACAAAAAACATAGGACTGTCAGTTGCTCCGAATTATGAAATGTTTATATAATAAAGCATCAGAAAATCCATGATGATAATTATGATGAGTGTGTGTGTGTGTGTGTGTGTGTATGTGTGTGTGTGTGTGTGTGTGTGTGTGTGTTGGGGGGTGATTTATGTGTGTTTATGTGGTTTTTTTAAAATTATATTTTTATTGATTTCAGAGAGGAAGGGAGAGGGAGAGATAAAAACATCAATAATGAGAGAGAAACATCATTGATTGGCTGTCTCCTGCATACCCCTCAATGGGGATCAATCTCATAACCTGGGAATACAGGCTGACTGGGAATCAAACTGTGACCTCCTGGTTCATAGGTCAGTGCTCAACCACTGAGCAACACCGGCCTGGATTATATATATATATATATATATATATATATATATATATATATATATATCATATCTTTCTTAATAGCTCCAGAATACTTTATTGTATGTATGTTTTATAACTTACATAGCTATTGCTGAATCTGTAGGTTGTTTCCAATCTTTTTCTATCATAAATCTGAGATAAACATTCTCATTCACACCCCTTTTGTACATGTCAGATTACTTACCAAGATTATTTGCTAAGAATGAATTCCTAGATATGAAGATCTGAGAACAGAGGGGTTTTGTATCTAAAATGTTTATATTTATTACTCTACTGCCTTCCTGAAGGTATTAACAGATTATGTTCCCATCTATAACATACGAGACTTTCCCCTTATCTATAATAATAAAAGCGTAATATACTAATTAGACCAGACAGCCGAACAACCTTCCAGACGTCATTCCAGACGAAGTGGCGAGGGCCGAAGCAGAGGGGTTAGGGGAGATCAGGCAGGCAGGCAAGCAGTTAGGAGCCAACATTCCCAGATTGGCAGTTAGACATCTCCAGAGGCAAGTGTGCAGGCCAGGCTGAGGGACTCCCTGCCCACCCCCCTGCATGAATTTTGTGCACAGGGCCTCTAGTTTATAATAATGATGGAATGGCAATGACACTAATAGCTAACATTTATCGAGTGTTTAGTATGCATTGGGCACAATGCTGAGTGTTTTATATGCATTATCTCATTTAATCTTCAAAACAACTCTATGAAGTAGGTACCATTGTTGTCTCCATTTTGCCAAGGAGGAAACTGAGATTCGGAGAAGCTAAATAACTTGCCCCAAATCACAGAGCTCCTGTGTACAGTTCATATTTACTACCAAAACAACTTTTGACATCATTTAAGGACATTTCCAAACATTCTCCATAATCCCATTACCCTAGCACGCCTTCCATCTGTCTGTTACTTTATTTTGCCTGTTCTCTTCCTCCCTCTTTCATTCTTTTCTCTCCTTCTCTATCATCCTTGCTTTCTTTCTCATTGATTCTAATTATAAAAGATATATAATAGCCATAATCTCCATGCAAATGCAACATTTCATTCTATTTTGTTTTGCAGAGCATTAGTTTGTGAACACAGTCCCATATTTCTGAAAAGCTGCCATTTTGGCTGTTAGAAATGGCTACTTAATGTTTGTTCTTGGACTTTTTAGGGCGGATCCTAGCTTACTCCATTAATGCTAGGCCACAGTGAGCTTTTTATACACAGAGGATTTTTTTTTAAGCATTTCCTTGAGCTAAAGCCCCAGGTTGGGATTACAAAGTTACAAGATCTGGAACATTCATACAGCTCTTAACATATTTTGCCAAATTGGAACTAAATTGGTTTATGCACAGCTTGCCTGGGACGCAGAGTTTAAAACCTACTTTCCCCAAACATTCTGTCCAGTGCCATCACAAATTGTGCCATCTTTAGAATCTATTACTTTTCTTTTTAACAACCTTTATGGAGAAAAGGGTTTCAAATTTTCTGATTATAAATGTAATAGATGCTCATAGTAGAAAATTAGGGAGAAGCAAAACACAAATAAAGTTAAGGCTACCTAAAATCTCACTACAATTGTTTTCAGTTGTAAAGTTAATTCATACTCAAATGTGTAAAAAGACAAAAGCTCAAAACAGGGTAAAGGTGAAAGCCCCACATTCCGTTGCATCTCATTTCCCAGAACCAGCAGCTGTTAAATTCAGTATATATAACCTTTTAGACATTTCCCATATGCACACAAACATATTCGTAATTATCTTTTTTCTTTTTTTTTTTTTTTTTAACAAAATTGAACCCAAAGATACTATTTTGTCTTGATCCTTCCCACCCCACCCCCTTTTGCAGTATATTATAGACATTATGAATCTTATTTCTTCATGAAACCTATCTCAGTCATTATTAAAGGGGATTTTCCAATGGAAAAATACACTAATAGCATATATTATGTCATCCTTGTCTAGGCATGGGAAAACAGTAAAGCATTTGCCATTTTCCTGTAAAACTTGGAGGAAAACAATTTAACAGAGATAACTGGAATGTAAGTTAGATATAAGATGACAATCCGTGAGTAAGCTAGAGAGGTTTAGAGCGTGGAGTGCAGTTTTCTAAAATCCCTGGGGGCAGGTGGTTCTAGTCTTGGAGTAAGTATGCACTTGGTAAATCCTACCTTTGAGCTTTGGCCTGTCTGGATTGACTGCACGCCTTCCATCTGTCTTTCCAAATTTGAACTGATCTTACAAATGCCCCCTTGTAAGGGAGCCTTCCTTGATTACTCCAACCTATAGATGGACCCTTTCAGGAATCCCCCTAGTGTGTACTTTCCACTTGTAATGGCTCAAAGAAACCTGGGCTTTAGAGTCTCATGTCTCAGTCTTCAAATGTTAGCTCTGAGACTTCAGACATGCAACCTTCATTTATTCAACATGTTACCTAAGCACCTCCTGTGCGGTAGGCAGACACCAAGTATTTGTCCTCAAGTCTTGTGAAAGACCCAGCCTGGTAAACAGGCAAAAACAACATGGTGGGATAAATGGGGTAAAGGCCATAATGATGTGGGAAGGAGACATCACCCTGACCACCTCCTAAGGGTCGGGGAAGGCCAACGTCAACCTGAAAGGAACTGACAAATAAGCCAAAGCCTTAATGTGCTCGTTATTAAGTGAGGATTAAAAATACCTGTCATCCAGAGTTTAAATGAGGATGAAACAAGAATATGTAAATAAGGTGCTTAGCAATGAATCTAGTATTTCAGTGACTGGTACTGTTATCCTTCCTCATCGGCAATTTGTCCAGCCCATCTAACTATTGTTTTTGAATCAGTATTTATTGTAGCATTAATTTACTCCTTCACAAAGTGTGCCTTTCGCTGAAACCAGTTTGGCTCAGTGGA